CTGAGAGGTGAAGCACTGACAGATTTAATAGTTCCATCTATGAAGTATCTCAAGTTTCTGTTGGAAGCAATCAGGCTTCAATCAAATGGCATAATAATGAGATGAAGAAATGGATACCATATCTTGGAATGTAACACTCTCAATTTCTAAGCACTCCCTATATATGAAACCCCTTTTAACTAGTAGAATAAAGATCCGTCACTAAAAATGCTTGCCAGAAAAAAATCATTTGCTTTAACTAATTGATATGTTCTGTTTTGCTGCCTTTTTTTTAAAAAAAAAAGACCACACATGCAATTCACTCTATTATCATGTAACTGGCAGTAAATCAGAAAATTAAACTTATCAGACATATGGAGATGTAGATTGAAAGTTTTCAGAAACTGACAAGCTAGTAACAACCCAGATTGTAATTAAGAAGTACAGAAATCTTGAATCAAGAGACATGGATATTTGTTGCCATTTAAATTAGCAGATTCATTAAAAATAAAAAAAAAGAAAATTAAAAATCACACAATAAAACACTGGCAGGATGATTTCATACCTCAGAAATAAACCAAACCACATTAAATCTGATGTGCCTAAAAAAGAAACCAATGAAAATTTACATTTTTGGTCTTATTATTAACTTTTTCCTCCTAATGTTTTCATTTGAAACATTGCTATCTAAGTTCCATTTCTAAAAAGCACAGAGAATGCAAACATAGCAGTCTCCAACTTAAATTGTTCACCAACTTCTTATGAACTCTGCCTTCCTCTTTTCTTCCACCAACCTCATAATTTGCTATATGGCAAGTGTATTTTCTAAAAATTTTTCAAATGTTATCTGATTTTCCTTCACTGTTATTCTTATATTCCTCTCTTAGATTTTGAATTTCAAAATAATTATTTGATATTTGATACTGAATCTAAATATCCCAGTAAATACCAGGGATATTATAACTCTGCTCATGGGAAGGGACATATAACTGTACAGTGAATGATTTTTACTTCCATTAGATACTTTCTTCATGCTGAGCAATGACTACATTTTGAAAAAAAATTGTCACATTTGAATTAGTTCTCGACATACCTCTGACAACTATGAAAACAAAAATTTGTATTCATTGCTTCCACAGATTTCATGGTTGAAGGAAATTGAAGCTATTCAATACAACAGAAAACAAGTGTTGGAAAGGATATATCTCCTGAAGTCAACAGGATTCTTAATTTCAGTTATCTGCTCCTTAGAAGCTATTTCTTCTTCAATATAAAGAAATTTCCAAGCTCAAATATCTTGCTCTTGTAACAAGTTATGCGAATGCACAAAGCAAGTTGACTATATGTATATATATATATGTGTGTGTGTATATAATATCTTTTTTTTCTGTTTAATGAACAACAGTGTAATTTAGAACTTATATCAAGTTGGACACTAGGCAAGGAAATTTCTTTTGAAAAACGAAAATTAAAACATTTATGGAGATTCAATGAAGCAAACCATTTCCATGAAAATATATTGATTTTCATTAAAATGCTATTGTGAAGACAACTGTGAATGACTTTCTACTTAAAAGGAACCGGTGGAGAAAAGCTGTAAGACATTTGCCAGGTACAATGCAATCACAGAGCTATAGTTTTATTGCTTCTTTTTTTAAGGAATCAATGAATTTATTTTCAGCTATGTAATTAACTATGAAGCAAAATTATTCAAAGATGAGATTTGAGTCATATATTAAAATTATTACACATTTGATTGCATAAACTACACCTATAAATCTATTTTTGCAAGATTATTTGAAAAATTTTGTCTTGCTCTCCATTTCCCACCAGTGTAGAACTTTTATTTCTTTGCGTATTTTTATCTCAAAAAACATTATGGTAGAGCACTTTTATTTCTGGTCAGGTCTATTTGTATAGAAATAAATTAAGGTTAGTTGAATAAAGAGTATTATTTTTGTTTTTGACAGTTCTTGGCTACAATGTTGAAGAGACATACAGTGGGGTCAAAACTTAATGTATACATATTAGTAGATGTAAAGAGCAAGACGAAAAGCAGACAATTTCAGTCATTACCCTCATTTTTCTTTACTTTGGGGACCCTTATATCTACTCCATTTAGCTTTGTTATTAGTACTCTATTAAAAAAAGTTATGAAGATTAGCATTCTAGAACTGACAATTCAGTCAGTCAGTTATAAATCCCAATAAATGAACTGATATATTATTAAAATATTTTGGCAATACATTGCTAAATATCCTGAAAGTAACTCAATCTTTCTAATGATTTGGAAAACTGCATTCATAATCATAGTATTATTTTACTGTTCAAAAGCTGTTAGAGTTCTCTCAAATGCTGTCAGAGCTCCCCCTTCATCCAAGTTTTCTCCCACTAAGTGCTTTTAACATCGGAGATGTTAATTTCCTAGCAATTCCACAATTAATATGATACATACTTTAAGTAAATATTTAAGACAGTAAGCCAAGGAAAATTCAATTCACTCGTTTCATGTTTCACATTTTCAAAGAAAAAAATTATTTTCTCTTTTGAAAACTGAAACCCTGAAACTTTGAAAGCTGCATTCATGAATATGTCACTCTGCTTGCATATCAGAAACATCTTAAGCTATTTATTTTTTACAGCTTTCAAAGAATAGTAAATTTTTACAAGCAAACAATTCACAGAATGCCAGCTAAGGAAGTACTGTTACTTCCTATTCACAGTAGGCTTTTGTCATGACACCTTGGAAGAGGATTCACAGAACAAGAATTTGAGATACATCACTTACAACTCTTAAAGAAAGCATCCTTAAAAGCTTTAAAGAAAGGGCCTTAAAGTTCTTTTGAAAGAACAAGAACTTTTTAAAAAAGAAATGTGATTTTTCCATCCTGTTTTTAAAGAGGGTTTCCCCTCAAATCCTTTGCATAAGACTGGAGGAATTTGTTAACAAACTCCCTCTTTCCCTACTTAATGTCTGCTCTAATCACAGTCCACACTAATCTCCTGGAGCCTGAAGGAAAAAAATAATGGTTTCTGTCACAGAGATGATGCATCTGCTCTTTTCCTGTGCTCATCACTTTCCTATCCTTTCTTCACATCCAAAGATTCTGCTGTTCCTCTATCACCCTCCCCAAGGTATCTTCCCTGCACTGTTGAAGTTTTTCCTGGCTATGCAGGAAACCACTTTTCTCATATGTAGATTCCCCCAATTGAGAGTGCTGTACTCAAGACAGGCAGTAAGGCACTCTTTCCCCACTCCCAACTGGTCTTCTGCACCCTCTAACACAAAACAGTAAGTCAAATAGATGTGAGCTGACTCACACCTAAATGAAGTAACACGATGCCTATGAAAACGTCATGCACTATGAAGCTTATCTGTTAGAGTTATGTTTCCATTGAATCAGAAAAAAATATTGTAATTTCACTGCTGATTAGATGTATTTGTTTTTCATGCAAAGAGAACATATGACTATTGTGCATGCTTGCAAATGCCATTGCAGTAAAATCACAGCTTGCTTATTAATTACAACTGACTTCCTTTTGGATCTGCCATCTTTTGTTGATGATTTTCCCATTACACATAATTCAGATTTTAGATCTGAGCATTAAAAAGAAAAATAGATTATATACCTAATATCTCAGAAATGGGCACAGATCTTTGTGGACCTTGTGATATGCCAGATATGTATTAGTTACAAGTCTTCAAATGTATTATAATGAGTAATTTCATTCACCCAAAAAATATTTCAGTAAGTTGTTTTAAAGAATAGCAAGATTTTTTTTAAATCAATGTTTTTGTCTATTTGTTATATTTTTCATTATACTGCTTTTCACTCACAAAAAACCAAAATAAATCAGAAAATATGAAAGTAATCTATAAATATAAAAAAATTATAAAAAGATTGAATTCTTTCAAAATGTATCTGTTCAATTCTAATGCAATCTCATTCCAAAGTAGATCAGATGAATGCTGCTCTGACAGCTTATTTCTCTCCACTGACAGATGAAGGTTAAACTGACTAGCTTGGATCTGGAAAACTACAATTTAAATGAATAAATACAAAGAAACCACAGAACTAAGCTCAAGAAGTGCAAGATGGGTATAACTACTTGAACTGTAGTGGTAAGAAAAACACAGTTAAATCTGTGAAATACAACATGTTATTAGCTATTGTAAAGAATAAAAAAAATAAGGACATAACTGCTGAACAAGAGAAGTAGATTCAATGAAATGTGCTCTATTACTTCAATAATAATTTCAGTATAGACCTTAAGGGACCATTATTTCTCAGAAATGATAAATAATCGACTATTTCTGCAAGTTTAATTTCATGAGGCAAATGTTTTTAATTTTGTCAAAGTATGAAGAATCAAATGACTACCAATATGATTTAATTTCTGAATAAGGAGCATATTTTGCTTCATTGATTTTGATTAATTTTTAGTATTAATACCATACCTGCACTGTCAGATAAAACTTGAAAAATTTTAATTATTATCAGATAAAATTCCTTATTTCTAGAACTCTTTGTCTTAATCTACTTCACAGATGACTAAATGGAGGGATAATCCTTGATTAAAAAAAACCCACGACCCAACAAAACTTCTCTTGATATTGTTCCTATGCATTACAATGACAATTACAAAGCTTTCCTAAAGCTAAACTAAAAGAAAGGGATTAAAAAGTATTCTCATGATTTACATACACTCTTACTATTCTTACCTGTATGTGATCATGCATCTAAATAAGACATATACTGTTCTGACCTAGCAGACAGTGCATCCATCATAGAAGGTTAATTCTTCACTAGGAAGTGAAGTTATGAGAACTTCACTAGGAAGTTATCAGAATTAACCTTCATAGGAATCACCATTTCTATGGTTTCAAAAGGACCACTTACGAATAAAGTTCCATGGAAGTACAGAATAATTTCAAGCCAAAACCAAAAAAGGTATTTTTACTTACAGAGGATATATAGGATTCACAAGATTATAATTTAGATATTCCAAAACTGTCTTACCATGGTGTAGTTGTGAGCCACCTTCATAAGCTCTGTGCACCCTTGTGCATCAGCAAATGCCCGTATTCCCAAACAGTTGGATGGGTGCAAAAGCTTCATTAGAAAATGGCAGCAAACTTCTACTACTTGAGGAAGCTGGAGGAGGCAGGCAGCTGCTAGAAGATTTTCAATGGTATCTTCTTTCAGTTCCAGGCAGCCTAAAAAAAAGGGTTGGTAACATTAACACATGCAAACTTATTTACTTGGTATTTACAAAACATGCAGTATCAAAAGATATTTTTAAAAATAATCATAGTTCTATATAAATAAATCTATAGAAAAAGTGAAGAAAAGAAGGATTAGTCTCCCTGACTGAACATCTCAGGGACCTGAACATTACAGTATTAAAAACATTTCTTTTTAAACTTCTATTAATTCAACTATATAATAGGCATACAAAGAGAGACTGTACAGTGTGGAATGGAAGAGAAGACTTAGGAATATCAACCAGGCTGTGGATGGTTTTTTTGTTGTGTTTCTTTTCTTTTTTTTTTTCACTGAATTTGGTGATAAAACTTGTATTATGTTCAGTGGCACAGAGCAAACTTCAAAATAATTTACTTCCCTGAAAAGAATAACTTCCTAGTATAGTATGAATGAACCCATAAATCACAGAATTTGCTGATTTTGAAGGGACCCACAAGGATCATTGAGTCCAACCCTTAGCCCTGCACAGGACCATCCCCAGGACTCAAACCATGTGCCCAAGAGTATCATTCAAATGCTTCTTGAACTCTGTCAGGCTTGGTGCTGTGACCACATATCTTTAAATAAGGCTTACAATCTTCCAACTTGGTGTTGCTTATTTGTAATGTGACTTTGGGGTTAATTTTATCTGAGAAACACATGGTAGGCTTCTCATAGCATATCGTTCTTCTAAAATAATTTATATTAGTGAAAAGTACATATTTCCATGCCTAATACTTATCTTCCATTAAATCATACTTACATTGTACTTAATTCTGTAATTTCACAAGTCAGTATGTTTCCCTTGCAGATTGATTCACTTTTTAACAAATAAAAGGTAAAATAGAATAAAATAAACTTTTAAAATTATTTTTTTATTGAGAAATATGTAATTCTTGTTATAATGCTCCCTCCTAACCAAAATTTTTATTTTTTTTTCATTAGTATCTTATAAATCTCTTGCATTAACAACTTAAGAAATCATAAATTAAAGATTACAAGGATGACTTGTGGAACTGGAAAAAAAAAGTATAGGAAAATAAAAAACTGCAATTATAAATTGTAAAAAACACTTCTGATTTTATTTTGCTGTACGTGGAAAATCATCTCAAACTATAAGGATTAAGTGTATATAGATCTTTCTCTTCAAAGTGATATAGTTCAACACTCAGATAAACTCCTTTTTTTCTCCACACAAACTTTGTATCCATTGTCACATAAAAAAAAAAAACCCACCTACAAATCTTAACAGTTCTATCTCATGGCACTAAGGAGTTCTAAAGCCTTCAACTTCACAACAGTATCCCACTGAAAAGCTGCTTTATATTGCAATACCAAACACAAAATACAGTAACATTAACACTACACATCTGATCTTTTCTACTTTCACTTTATCTGGAGCTTTTAATACGTGATGGAAACTGAAGTTTTATTTTTTACTGGATGTAGTTATAATACATCCTTTTGCAATCCTTTGCATTGGATCAAGTGCACAGCCTGATTTCAGTGGTTTTCCTCTGCTTATTTTCATGCTTCTATTAATGTCACGTGAGCTTCTCTTTATGTTATCTGGCAGTTTCTCAGAATTTCTGTCCACCACACCTTTATGCAATGTGGTCAGAAAGCACACTCAGCAGCAGATTCTTGGGTGACCTCCAATCAATTTAGCAATGACACTCCCACATTTGCTACATGCTTGCAGGTAATGACTAGCTCAACACACAATCTATTATCTTGAAGATGGTTTCATTGTGTCAAGTGGAACATATCAGAAGATAGTTGTTTTCATGTTAAAAATTATCACTCCGGTACCAGAAGGCAGAAAATTAAAATTTGGAAAACACCTGTGAAAAGTAGATGGACTGAGAAACGGAAAAAAAAAAATTAAAAAAAAAGGAGTCCTCGATCTCCTTTACTTATGTGTTATTTATTTTTCAACAATGAGGTCAGTAAAGTCTCTGGCCCTATAAAACCGATCCAGATATCATTTGCAAAGTGATGTAAGTATTGAAAGAATGACCATCATTTTGAGGAAAGGTAACGGTATAGCTACCATAGTTCGGCTTTTTATCACTGAATGTAGCTACCCTTAGGAGAAGAGCCCAAAGGAATCAGTTGAAGCCACATCAATCTACTTGTTTTCAAATTGAAGATACTTTCTGTTAACTTAAAGGTAGACTAGTCCTGGTAGGCTACTAGTTGGGAAATAGTAGAATTAAACTAAGTTTAAATCAATAAAAATCATTATCTGTTCTATAAATTACATATTTCTTTATGCAACCAACATGGTTATTTTGAAGAAGATCCTTCACATTTTTATGAGAGTGTGAAGACATTTCTGCCTTACACATTAATAGAGGATGTAAATATACAATGGCTTCTGGGGTATCTAGGTATACAAATATATTATAGCTTGACTTATTTTTAAATAAATTCAGAAATACTAATTTACTGCTTACTACTTACTATGATAAGAGCAAGAAAGGTACACTCAATACGAGTTAAAGGGTTTATTGTTCTTCATTCTTTAGGCTTCAATCATAGATAAGTTTTTAATCCATCTAAATATTTTCCAAGTCTTTTCTTTTTTAAACATCAAGACACCTTCATAAATTTGTTCACAAGGGCTGTATTCACTTTTTCAGAAGAATGCTACGACATTTTTATGCAAATTGCTCTGGGATATCAAGTGTTTAGCATGGTCAGGGTTTGAAAAAAGAAAGCTGTTAGGAAGCTCTGAATATACAATCTTAAGACAGTTTCATACTGGCAATTAGAAGATCCAAGTATCTATTTAAAAGTGTTTAATAGGATATTCAAGGGGGCATTAATATTATTGCTTCTTCAATTCACCTCCCCCTCATATTTTTATGCAATAAGTAGCTTACACAAGTGTGTCAGTCTGGGAAAAACAAATTAACCAGAGCTTTAAATCTTCTTTTGTATTAAATTAATTAAGATGAAAAAAATATGAGGAAAAAACAATCAAAAGAACTTTTATGTATTCTAATTGTTATTCTAAATTATAGCTTTATTTGTGACAAATTTTATGTGCATTCCTTATGTGGAAATTAAAATGCCTGTCTTTAGCATGCATTCTCATAATGAATGCATACATTTTATTACCTCATTACCAAATGTGAAGCAGAGATAATATAAAAAAATTCCCTAATATTCTTCTGCTAAAACTTTTCCCAAGTTCAGGGACAGTTTTGGTATTTTTTTTTTAATTTTTATTTTGCTTTTATTCTATCTTCTACACAATTGACTACACTTAAGAACTCTTTTTTATTTCTAAGGAATCACTGCATATCTGATCACCCTTGGATGATGTTAATAAAGTCAGTGTTTCACAGCTATTGACCAATAGATGGGATCTGTGGTGGGACCTCTCAGTAGGTATTGCTCATTTGCTCTGTGCATAAGCAACAAATTTTCATCCAGATTTTTAACACATCATAATATCATTTTACCTCATGTGCACAGTAATTTTTTTTCTCTCTTGTAATTACACACATCCATTCATAGCAAGACTATTCAACATTCTTAAGATACCTGTGAGTAAGGGTGTAACAGTGAAGTCATTGGAAGTGTCAAGGAATTAGAAACAAAGGCTAGAACTAATTCTTTGTAATCAGATATTTAAAATTTTACCTTTCTATTTCATGTGTCTTGATCAACTGTGTTGCAGTTCTGAAGTGCTGCTGAATGGAATTATTTCCATAGGCTAACCAGTTGTAGGAATGCAGCATCTCTATTAGGTGTCATTTTTTTAAAAATAAAGGCAGTAAATGGTATCAAGATAATATTTATTCAGATTTTGCATAGTAGATAAACTGTTTACAATTATGACTACAAGAAATAACTTTTTTGAAGAAGCATCAAATGCCAGTGAACACTTGAAAAAGTTTACAAAAAAAGGTAATATACTTCATATTGCTACAATAGGCCTTTCTGCCATTGCTTATCATTAATCTTTACAAGTCTTAGGTTCTTGTCAGGTAGCCACCTGAGCTAATCACTCTTTTTACAGTCCACGGAGAGAAATATGAGGTGTTTCACCTGTCCTGTTTTAGTCATGTACTTCAGAATGAGATGAATCACTCTCTGAATGGCTATTTCTTGTTTTCAGCTACAAAAAGAGCACCTTCATTTGACTTACTGAGATGCTGCTGATATTTATATTTGTTGATATGAACTCAGTGCATCTGCTCCCAAACACAATAGCTGAATCATCAAAATCATCAGGTTTCAGGTGATGAAATGCTCTTTGGTTTGATCAGTTCTCTCTGTTACTGTCAACTCCTGGTAATGACATAGTGTGTAAAATCACCTCTATGTCTATTCACGAATATCAGTCAGTGAAGAATGCTACAAAAAGTATTTTCCCTTAGCAGAACATCTTTTAGTTTCCAGATGATTTCTAAAGGCAATGTTAAGGTTTTGATTTTGACCTATGCCTTGAAAGATAAGTTCTACATTGTATAATTTTCCAAACTTTTCATAAAGGTGAAGTTGTTTCCAGAAAAGAAAACAGGACACAATATATTCGCTTTGCAGAGGTTTCTCCTGATCAAACTTTTTTTATTTTCTATTAATTACTTGCTGCAGACCACATTCATCAGTTGCAAGTGAGGAAGATAGGCTGATTGTGTTTCTTTAGAATCATAGAATGGTATGGGTTGAAAGTGACCTTGCAGAACATCTAGTTCCAGCCCCCTTGCCATAGGCAGGGACACCTTTCACTAGGCCAAGTTGTTCAGAGCCCCATCCAGCCTGGACTTGAACACTGCCAGGGATGGGGCAACCTGTTCCAGTGCCTCAGCAACCTCATAGTAAAGAATTTCTTCCTACTATCTGATCTAAACCTGCTCTGCTTCAGTTTGAAGTGTTTGTCCTGTCACTACATGCTCAGAAAAGCATTCACTTGATTCAGATATATAATTTCGACTATGATTAAATGGTCGATTAT